CGCATCTCGGATTTGTGATATATAGTCTTGGCTAAAAGTAAGGAATATGTTTGGAAATTGTACGCAAAATTGTGATAAGTCAAATTAAATTTACACATATTTATTAGAAGAGTAAATTGTTTGAATGTGTCATTAATAATTGAACATTTAAAAGAATTGCAAAAATATCCTTTATAGTTTTAAAATTATTCTTATTAAAAAGATGAAGAATGAAATTAACATGAAAAAAACAATGTAAAGCATCTATACATTTTTTATCTTTCTAAAAGAAATAAATAATTATTATAATTTAGAAAACTGGGTGATAAATAAATGTGATTATTTACATTTAATTATAATTTTTTAGATAAGAGAGCTATTCTATTATATAATATTCATTATAGTTCAGTTGAAGAATTTATTATGCTTCCTATAATTTATTAAAGCTTCATACCTTTTTGCGGCAAATTTTTTGAAAAATATTGTATTTATAATCATGTTTTTTAGAAAGTCATTTATAATGAGGTATTTATAATGAGGGTTTTTAGGTATGATATAATTTAAGAAATAGATTTTAACAATTAATTCGATATTTTTCATGTTACATTTATAATCGTGATTTAATTGAAAAGTTCAAATAAAATTTGTTTCGATATACGACAATTTCCCTCAGTATAATAATTAATTCTTAAAAGAAGATCGCGTTAAGGCGTGGGAATTTAGTGGGAGTTTTTTGGCTCGTTCTGTCAAGAGGAGGCGACGTCAGCGTCGCATCGATGGTATAAAAGAGGAATGGGTCGCCGTACATTGTACACGGGAGGGGGGAGGGTGCGATAAACTCGTCTTGGTCCTAATGCCACATTTACGTTCCTTTTAGTACGAAGTAATGGTATCGGCTGGGAGTAGGCACCGACGCCGTCGGCGTAGATGAAATCCCCGATTCCGCCGAGGGCGATATAGCCTAGTTGCAGTTTTATCGCGCCTCTTCGTACGGATATCGAGCGATTTCGGGCCCGTGAAATCTCCCGTAATCGTAACAACGTAAATCGTAAACGCGAGTCCCTCATTCGCTCCTCCGCGAGAGCGCATTTCCGGGAGCCGCCGCTTCCCGAAGGAACTATCCACTTGCTCGTAAACGATTCGCCCTCGTCTTCGCGATCTACGATAGCTTCTGAGATAGATTTTTCCTCCCTCGGTGTGTATTCAGGGCGAAGGTTTCGACCCGATGATTCCGCGAGTTGATCTTCGATTAGCGGCGGCGAGAGTGTGTGCTCCGATACGGATTGAATTTACCAGCAACGATTTCTCCGGGACACAGGATATCGACATAAATTTATTTAATAGTTCCTTCGGGAGGAGAGGTGGGGAAGATAAATCTTATTTCTGGCGGTGAGAAACTTTTAGGTATATTCTTCGTCTTCGTAACTTTACGCTGTACCGTTCTCGAGGTTATTCTTTTGCATTATACATAGTCATTTTACGCTGACATCGCCATTTCTTTGTTCATCGGATTTTAATACTTCTTAAATACGTGGAACACGATGGAATCGTGTATGTGAGTGAAACGAATACAAGCTGACTCTAAAGTGTCGTCATAAATTATATCACTTACAAATAAATATCGCTTGTACGTACGTACACATAAACACGCGATAGTACACTGGTGACACGTTAATAAAACCGGAGCGTTAATTGCTGAATTCCTCATTGATTAATAGCGCCGGAGAGTTCGGAGGAGGGCAGGACCTAAGTGAGCCGACAATTTCAGAGGCAAGAGAAATAGCTGGTCTCTGCATCGCGAGTCTTTACACCGCGGAAATAACCCTGAGTCATAATCGCGTTGTTCTTATTTTATTATTTAATATTCCCCGCGCGCGATATTATCGCGCGATAAAACGATGCGCTGCCACCGAGATATTTCATTCGCGTCGGAGTTTTAATTAATACTCAAACACTCTTGGATATATTTTACATAAAAATGGCTCTGCAAAGTCTCGTCTGTTATGCGGATAAATAGGCAGTTGACAGCGCGATCGATATCGGCCAACAAGCGATTTCAATTACATTTTGTTACCTCTTGTAATGAGGCGCAGTTTAATCATCGTTGAATTACGCGAACGTGAGGGTATCCCGCCGTACCTGTGTTTGTGTAAATTGCTGCTACCGACATTGTGATAAATGTGTACGCCACTCGCGCTGATACGATGGCACTCTTGCTATTAACGATCTTTATGGTGTCAATCAAATAACTTGGTAACTCGGCCTTACCTCCCCTCCCCCCTCCTCCTCTACCCCGCCGTCATTGATTAATGGTTCGCGGCGAAGGATCTTCAGAAAGTTTTGTTACTTCATGTGCGTGGAGAGAATATGGTGTGTGTAACATAGCACCACCATCTCGCTACAATCCTCTACTTATAAACCGCTTGGTAATTTAAAAATCTTTAGAAAAATACTGCAGTCTTTTATCAACCTTAAGTAAATCTTTCCCGAGGACGACAAGAAGGATGCCCTAGAAAATCTACATCCTGCAAACTTCCTATCGCCGACACGCCACTTTTCTAGAAGCGTTCTTATCGCTGCGACTGATAATCGCAAGATGCAACATGTGTAACACGTGAGTAATCTGGCTTTAATTAAAAGCGGTATGATGAATGATGATCAACATAGTCCTATCGCACAAGTAAAACTCTTAGTGGAGCTCCAATGTCAGTTTTATGTTATTTATTGCTTTATTACATAAAGCCGTGGAGATCGCTGACCCTTGCGTCCGTAGCGAGAGACATCCCCATGAGTCACCCTCCCACTACCGAAGGGGGACGAATTTGTTTTAGTAACGGAGTTTACGTGCGATTGCATGCGCGACGGGGGTTGGGAATGAGACACGCATTAAATCGGAGTGACAGGCGAGTCACGTGGAGTGACGCGATCAAAAAGACGGATGCGAGACCATTTTCAGTACTGGATAACGGCTATATTTTTTCAGCTGGAATAACCATAGCTCTATGGTTTCTCGGCAACCGACCTGATACGACTGCGAAGAGCATATAACTGTCGTTGAGCAGCATGATTCACGTGAAAGATTGCACATGGTTCGATACGTTCATGGGGTCGCGGACCCATAAATGTTATTGTCGCTGTTAGCCTTATTACACTTGGTTCCAGGAAGATTCCTCCTAAGAATCGCCACGTTTTGTTGCTCGCAGAATCGTCTCTCGCAAAATTGCATTCGAGATTGAATATTCGCCATGAGAACTACGATGGGGGAAAAAGTCGTATATTGGGTTTTATAAGACGCTTACAAATCAAAACAATGTGCAGAGCTGAATTTGCGATATCTGTTACTATACGCATATCTCATATCTGTGAGTTGCCATTGCAATCAAATGTGCTTTTCATTTCATCTCTTGAATATATCAGATTCAGTGATTTTGTACTTGATAGAAGTCTCTATATTGCTAGACAAAGGATAAAAAAATGATAGATTTCGTGTCTCAAAGAGCGAACTGTGTGACTCGACTTTCATTGTTGCATACAGAAAGAATATTTACTGTTCGCAACGTTCTAGTTAGCTTGATCAATGAACTTCGTTCAGTTCAATAATATCGCGCAACTTGCATAAGTACGCTTGACAGCTAGCAATCGCAGCAGATATATCGAACTAATGTTCGTTCTAGTTTCGTGTCGTTGAGCGACGTGAGTCATGTGAATGATTGCACATGACCCGATTCATGAGATCGCGGATTCATAAATGTTATTATTGTTAGCCTTATTATACTTGCTTTCAAAAAGATTTCTTTTAAGAATTGTCATAGAGTTTTGTTGCTCGCAGGATCGTATTTCGCGAAATTGCATACGACTCTTGAAATTGAATATTCACCATAAAAATTACGACGAAGACGGAAATCGTATACTAGATTTTATAAGACGCCTGCAAATCAAAACAATATGCAGAGTTAAACTTGCCATATTTATATTATACATATCTTTGAATTGCCACTGCATGTTGCAAATCAAATGCGCTTTTTGTCTCTTGAATGCATTAAATTTAGTAATTCAGTATTTAGTAGAAGTCTATATTGCTAGATGAAAGAATAAAACAATGACAGATTTCGTGCCTTAAAGAGCAAACTACGACTCGATCGATTCACTGTTGCATGAGAAAAAGTATTCACACCTATTTGTATCGTTCTACTTAACTTGATTAATGAACTTTATTGAATTCAATAATATCGCGCAATTTGTTTAAGTATACTCGACAGTCACTAATCGCAGCAGATATATCGAACTAATGTTCGCTCTATTTTCACGATTCCCTACTGTTAATGATCGTATTACTATCTCGATGCTGAATTGATTCGGCTATTTGGGATAACTGAACGCCAATATACGACTCGGAAAGTATTTTCACTATTGTGACAGACTTTCTGTTTACCGTTACTCCTCATTTCCCCCTTGAAAAACATTGGTTTTCATAGAAACACTCTTGTAAGTCGAACTTACATATTCGTTACAAGTTTGATGATAGCTATTTATCCGCTTGCGATCGCAAAATATCTCGGAAACTTTCTAGAAAGATATACAAAGAAAATAAAAAAAACCATCTACAGTCGGCGTCTATATAGTGTTCATAGTTTTCTGCATGACATATTATCACATCGCAGAACTGGAACGATAAGATCGTTCACACAATTTCTCAGGAATTTCAACATTAAAGTACAGCGATAAATCAGTGTATTACAAAGAAATAATTACTTTAGTACTTGATATTTCCAGATTTAATATGATATTGATTAATAGTTATAGCTTTCTTGATAAAACTTAGAAATATGATTATATTATTGTAAATGTGTAGACTAAGTAATCGGAATATCGAGAAAGTAATAGAACTTTGTATAGAAAAAGAAACATAAAATATTGTTTTTTCTGAACAAAAGATAGTTTTCAAAAATGATAAAGGTGACAAAGGTTTTCTTAAGAGAAGAACAGAATAAAAGAATATAGCAAAATCGATGAGTACTTACGGTGTCCATATGGTGGTGATTCGCCGGTGATCGATGCGATACGCGGCATGTCTTCGGTAATTTCGATGTCCACGGATTTTCGATAAATGTCTGCAATGAAGGCCGTGCAGCGCAAGTGTAGGTGTCTTTTCTCTTGAAACATACTGTTCGTCACTTTAAACTCGATAAAAGATTTTGCAGACTTTGTGTTGTTTTCGTGATTATCTTCAGAATGCCATATTTTGTATTGCATATTGTCTTCCATGATCTGAAAGAAATCACAAGCGATATAAAAATGTATGTATTTTCTGAAAATGTCTTTAATGGCACATATAACAATAACAATAACAAAATTTCTAAATTTTATTCTTCATTTTTTATTCTTCTCCTTTTTTCAGCTCATATTTAAATCTTTCTTCATTATGTAGATGCTTTATTAGACTTGATGCTTTTAACGATATAAAATTTTAAAGCAAAATTTGAACTTTTATTTCCGAATACATATGGTACATGTCTTTCTGTAATAAGTACACAATTTGAAAGGTTACTTTGTTGTTGTACATAATTTAACTGAGCTTTAACAAGCATCCACATCTCAAATAATTAATAAGTCGCGTTTAGTGCTTAAGGAAAGTCCTTTCATCGCTTATTCTATGTAACTGCGCGAGTATCGAAATATCTTCCACATTTACTATCGTGTTCCACAAAGAGAATTATTATTGCTGCTTGCTAAAGATATCACGCGGTTACGTTGCTCTTAATGCAGATGAAGCTTGCCTTTTGTCTTACTCATCTAGCTGCGTCCTTTGTCTTCTTGTGAACGGGAATAAGATGAAAAAAAAAAAAGCAATGGAGTTGGTAGAGCCGAGTCGCTCAGCGTTATTACTTCGAGGAACAAACGTGGATGCGTATCGAGTTTAGCTACAGTAACGTGATTCTATGTGATACGTGCACTATAAAATTTCATGGACTATAAAGTTAGCGTCGACACACAGGCTCCTCTCGAGAGTTACGCTTTTGACTTTTTATATATACTTTTTCAGGTATATTGTAAAGAATGGCAGTCTGTTAACATTTCAAAATATTTTCGCGTTTTCATCAATTTACACTAAAAGCACGCTGTTTGTGATATATGGATATTTTTTTATCGAAAATAACAGTAACACGTTTCAATTATTTATGTAAATACAAGAGTAAATAATAGAAATTAAAAAAATCTGAATTTAATATTTTATATATTATATAAATATATATTTATATTATATAAATATATTATATTTAACATTTTATATAATAATGTAATTCCAATGATAATATATATAAAATAAAATATAAATACAAAGCAATGATATATTCACAAATAAGTAAATAATGATCACTTTTCACAGACGGCTAAAATAATTAAAAATGTACGGCTTAAAAAAATTTTTAGTATCATTCTCGAACTGATATATATCAATGTCAACCGCGTTGTAGTAGAGATATAAATGTGTCACGTGATCTGTAATAAATACACATGAAGGGACCTTATTTTATATACAACCGAGACTACTTTCAAGAAGAATATATGACCGAGAAGAAACGAATTTGTCTTCGATCGTCCGCTACGTTACGAAAGAACAAGAATACCCGGAGAACTCCGAAGGCGACGTTATCATTTGTAGAACAAACAAGGACATACATCATGTCCGCGGGCGTACAGTGTCACGTGCGGATACAGGCTACATCCATAAAGCATAAAGCATAAAGCTGATGCCATCACAGATGCCATCTTCTCTCACACCTTCTTTTTTCCTTTTCTATATGTCACAAGAGTGGAATTCTTGCGTAGCTTCTTTACGCGTAGCTTCGAGTCTAAAGTGCATTAACGTGCAATCTTCATATCCCCGAAAGCGGATTTTGATAACATTATTCGTGCAGGTGTGTCCTGGAAGTGAAGGATTGATTGACACATTGATGGCGCTAGAGTTTCAGTTGCGGCTTGCTTTCGCCTCCCTTATTGTCCTTGCGAACGTAATATTCTCTGCTTGCTATGCGTACATTTTCAGCATATACATTCCTACGATGCACTGTAGATCTTGTGTTCCACAATAAAGCTACTATATTTGTCTCCATATCTGGGAGCGTATGTGGATGGAATCTAATATTGCGTGTAGTAACTAAATTTACGCGATTGTATACATGACTTCGGGAACATATAAAATACATAGTTTATTGAGCAGATTGTCGAAATTTACTTAGAAAGACTTGAGAATCCAGAACTATTTACTAATTTATAAATTTAAAATTTGCAAAATTTCACTACAGTTTTCACTACAGTTTTCTGTACAAAATATGTTGCAGAACAATATCTCTTTATTTCTTCTTCTTTTAGCGGTTATATTATATTTCATTATTTTATTTAATATTATACACGTACATACATCTATATAATTTACGATGCAACAGTTTTGCAAATATTTCCAACTGGCCAGGCGGGAAAACTTTCGAAATGGAAATCAGGCGCATAGAAAACGCAGTAAAAGTCCGAAAATTGCATTCGGGTCTCGAATTTACGAGAATGCACGTGCTGTGTGACTAGGGATTATTTGCCCGAAATATTGGTGGATGTTTCATATGCCGGGGCAAAGCTTTCCGGTAGAGCGCGAAGCAAGGCGGAAATATTGGCGGCGAGAAAATATGAGCGAAAACTTGATTTGAGATAGGTGGAACCAAGGTAGACTTTTCTTGGCAGCGGATCAAGCGCATACTTATATATCCACCTACGCGGACAAATGTATGTGCTAGTTATATACATACTCACGCAAAAAGAAAGAGAGAGGGGAAAAGGAAAGAGGGCAGAAAAGGATAAGAGAAGAGAATAAGCAGGTGGTCAATCGATGAAAACGATTTTCTAACTCACTGGTCAGTTTCTGCATTACGTGGAATCGCTGCTTGATAAGGCTACATTTTTTAAATGGACAAGTCTTGAACGAAATTTTCAGGAAAAGGAAGATCCTCGCCTCTTATCTTCGTTCTCTAATTTATCTTCTCTTATCGAACGTAAGAGCCGTTTAATTATCTTCGTCCGACGTCTCACACAGTTATTCCCGAATTAGCACTGAGCTTTACAGTATTTTGAGCGTTAATTCTTAATTATTTTTAAGAGTCATCGTGTTCGCTAAAATTTAGAACTACAGTGAATATTTCACTTTGATGAAATTATTGAGTTGTTATCATTTAATAAGTAAATCAGATTATAAAGAATTAATTAGATAAACATAATTTTGCAATATAAGTTATATACTCATATTTTCATAAAAAAGTTATGCAATGTTGATTTTATTTATTACTCGCTAATATTTTTTTAATTGGAAAAATCAAATTGAGGTAATTAAAATGTGAGTTAATAATGAGATTTACTAACGTAATTAACGCTTGGAAATTATCTCGTTAACATTCATAAATGTATAACATTAATATGTTAACTTATTACAAACGCGTATTACGTGCGGGCAGAATAGAGAGGCGTTTAAATAATGAGGACAAATTGAATCGCGGATGAGTCAACGAAAAATATAGACTGCAATGAAGGAAAAGTGCTCCGTGCAACTAAGTGCTTAGGGCAACTACGGAGGAAGTTGTCAACAATAGCTGTGCTTAGAAATCAAGGAAAGTAAGCGGGGTGACGCACGTCATGGACGACGGGAGGGCGAAAACCGAAAATAGAGAAGGGCGAAACGACGACCCTTGTGCACTTTCGACCGGGATGCTTTCATCAGGGTGAGACCATTGTTCCTCTCGCCGCCGGAAATGCGAATTTTCACTTACGCTCGTCCAAACGCGGTCGTTGCTTACTCCGCTTCGTTTTATTCTAAAAGCCAAGTGATTCAATTTCACGCGCTCTTCCGAGCATCTATTTAAAACTGTTCGCGCTTATTTATTATTATGAGCTAAGTTGGGAATTTCTCTAACATCCAATTCAACATTCGGGTAATGTTTCATTTCTGATGTTATAACGTCCAATATAAATTTTTATTATAATTTTTGTTATAAATTAAAACGTAAAAGCGCAGATAGAACAATTTTTATATTCTATTATGTTCTGGCTATCTAAAAACACTTTTCTATATATGTAATTCTCATTGTTTCAGTAGAACAGTAAGTTGATGAGAAAAAAATAGTTCAATTCATGCAAAATAAAAGATAACATTATTTATTAAATAATTGTTGCTTATAAATTGTTGCTTATTTATAATAATTGTTGCTTATAATTGCTTATAACATACACAAATCTAATGCTTTTAATTTTTTTCAAAAAATTACTATTTTCTAGACAATTTAACTGATTTTAAAATATTATGTTCTACTATGTAATATTAAATGATTTAATGTTGTTATGAAAATTTTATCTGGACAAATTATTTTATATGTATAAACATGTAAAAAGATATTTCGCAAATATACATATTACGAGGAAAACAGAGAGTTACTATTAATTAAAAATTTGCAGATATTTTATCCTTCATATACATATAAATTTAATTATTGATAAATTATTTTAATTTCCTATAATATATGTTTGCAATATTTTTACTGATTGTATCGATTTGTTACGATATATATCTTCCTGAGGCCGTTGAAATCTCAATCCAAGACAGTAGAAATCAAATCCACCAAGATTCGTTCGGCTATATTCGCACATATTCGGTTGAAAGGTACGGATGTCTGGTATGCAAATAAATTGTTATTTCGTGGCTTTCGTTAAATCAACTAAATTATTCTGTTAAATCGCTGCATCGCCGTTTCGTCGTGCTGACGTTTTCCCAGTTTCACCGGCCGAAAGTGAGTTACGCCGTTTCAATCGTCAGAATGAAAAGTGTCAAAGGACGGCATAAATCTGCTCGTTCAAAAACAAAGCGCCGCCCTCTGAAAACGAATATTCAGTGGAAAATATCGCGCCTCTCGTGCCCTGGTTATTTAAACCAATGGTATTTTCTGCGAAAGCAATGGATCCGCTCGTCAAGATAAAGGCCTG